AACATTGAGTTAGCCGAATAGGTCTATTCTACCCATGTGGTGCATGCGATATATATTTAATTAACATACATTTGCATAAGTTTGCTGAGCGTGTGCCTAAGGCCAGTCCACACTAATGTGTTTTCGTTTGAAAATGCATACATTTCGATGCGTTTATGCCCTCCGTCCACACTACACTAATACGCTGTTTTTATCGAGAACGCATCGATTTGAAAGCGTTCTTGAAAGTGGATCAAATCGAAAACGCACTGATATCGTACTGGTGTGGACGGTCGAAAACGCATCAAAATGAAAGTACCGATAAAATCGCGGGTGCGTGTGTTTGTTGCATGCGCATGCGCACTTACGACAGAACGTACAATTCTGTCTTTTTCAAACGTTTTAGTGTGAACCGTCGAAAACGCGTCAAAACGGTAGCGTGGACGCGAATCGAGCGATGCGTTTTCGATGACAACGAAAACGCATACTTTTTAAGACAGGGCAGGGCCTAAATTCACACAAATATTTGCCAATTTGTCCCAGCCCCCGAGCCGGATAACAAATTGCTAGTTAGTTTTTATTACAATTCTATTTTAAATCCCGGTTATTTTTAGGAGTAACTGATGAAGCGTATGCACTAAGCAGTTTGCAGAGTATTAGTATGGAATTAGAGGAGATAAGGCAACGATTGTCGAACAGGTAAGGCCTGTTAAAGATAAGAGTTTGAATTGGAACCGTGTAGTTTTGTGACAACTTTTTGGTACAATATATTTCCCAGTGTAAATTTAACGACGTAGAGTTTTGTACGGTGCTTTCCCTTGCAAAATCTTCCTTAACGGCTTAATAATCAGAATCACTTAGCCTGAGAAAACAGCCCACGTTTCGCGACAACACCTCTGCTTTTCCCTGCGAAATGACGTCCGAGAAACGTGCGCAGAAATTTCACACTGATGACGTGTCACTACAGAGAACTGGGTTGTGCTTCTGATTGGTTGAAATAAACGTCCCTTGCGCCACAGCACGAAAAGTGAAATTCACCTAACTTTACCTAGGGCCCGTTTCTCAAAAGTCCCAATAATTAACGGTCCCGTAAAACTGTTGTTGTTTACATGCAAGGTAGGGGTTTCAATAGTTTTGCATCTAACATGATAAAACTATCAGTTAATGAAACAGAATGGAGTAGTTTGCTAGCCAGAACCCGCGCTCTTATTCTTTATATTTCGATTTGAAAATTTGATTTCGGGCCCGAAACCTTGCCGGGGCTTTCGAGAAACGGGCCCCTGATTCCTTAAAGTTCCGTAAATTAAAGTTCATAGGCAAACCTATATGGATTCAGTATACATTTCTAACTGTTCTGAAGTATAAATCACGTCCATATAAGTGACTTTTTACTGTTGGCCATAAACTCCTGTTATAAAATTCAGCTTTACGTGGAGTAAAGCTCATAAAGCTTACCTCAAAGCTTTATAAAGAGAATCTTTACGCCGCGTAAACCAATATCAATCACTTCTTTACTGAACAAAGCTCCGTAAAGCTACGTAAATTTGGACACTTTTCATGACGTACGCATCAACGTAAACTTCCGTAAAGTTAACCTTTACAAATAAGATGCGTAAATGTGCATAAAGTTTGTCTTTACGGTAGCATTACGCCAGCTTTATGGTCCGGAACAGTAAAGTTACCATTTCGTATACTGCGCGGCGCGCGGCATGACAATCAGAAGCACTACCCAGATCTGGGTAGTGAATTTTCATCAGTATTGAAGTTTTCTGCAGTCGGTTTTCAGCAGTCATTTCGCGAGGAAACCGGTGGTGACGTCGCGACTGAAATGTCCGCTGTTTTCTCAGGCTAAGAATCACCTGGTTTGTTAAGGATCTTACACATTGCCTTAAGGTAGCTTTAACTGGTGGCTAAGGCAAAACTTTTATAGTTCAAACCGGACGTTTTAAATCTCCTACAAACTAAAAAGTTAAATATGCCTTCGCTTCGTGGTTTTTGAATTAACCTTTCTCGATATTTTTTTTGACCTTGTGGAATAACGTAGAGAGGATATAGCAAGTTAATGACACTTTGATCTTAAACACTTTATTGAAATAATTAGTGGTCTTTCTGGCGGTCAGCAAAACAATTTGAATTTTCTTATACTAATTTAAAAAAAAATAGGGCTATCTTGATATAATTACTTGAGAAAGTTCATGTGGAGTTTAAGGGAAGTCTTAAATAAACGTTGGTTCATTGGTTCTTTGATGGGCAGATGGAAATGGATTTTTAGCAAGTTCCTCCTGAAGCACGTATTTATTTTTCGGTAACGTCTTAATCATGATGTCTTTAAGATCCAACGACTCGACGGCGACAAGAACGTCGCTTAAAAAGTGAATTTGAGTTTTTTTTAGTCTTTATAGCGATTATTCCTACCCACTTACTTTGTCAATTGTAGGCGAACCCTTGCCTGATTTGCCGAGACTTTCAGAGCCACGTAATATGAAACTAAATTAATTGCTGATGTAGTCCTTGAAGTTCCTTGGCAACCAGTTCCACCTTATTAGGCAATTGTAGAAATCCTTGGACACGATCGACATGGCAATTTTCTCAGTCTTAAATCATATTTTTCGTATGTGTTTTATTGAAGGCCAAGTGAGATACGGTTTTAAAAATGCAAATTGTAATGCTCTACCGTAAAAGTACACAACCTGTGTTAATTTCCGTCTTTTAACGAGACATTGACGCGTTTGTGGCCTTTAGTGAACGTTCCAGGTCCAATCTTTCACAATTCTAAAAGAGTATGATTTTGAATTTTTGGTCAAGATCAGTACGTAGCTGCTACATGTAACTCGAGTGAAAGAGTTTTACTTTTGTTTGCCAGCGACTTTTCTTTCGCGAGAGGGGTATTTAAAGGAGAGGCAAAGCACTTAGTCGGCGAAAAATCATATACCCCTTGTAGACTCGAAGGCAACGTAATATTGCCTTTTCTAGAAATGAAGAGGAAAGATCAAGAAGACTGAGGAAGAAGGAAAAGTTCGTGCACTGTCCTATATACACAGGTGCAGGAAAAAAGTCGCTGTGAGAATATCCGAGGCCTCAACTTTATCTACAAGCACGTCCAGATGAAAATAGATTATTAGTTGTCTACTCGTCATTGCGGCTCAATTGTTGTGATCGACCACCTTCTGGTTTCTGGAATTAACACAATTGTTTTCTTCAATAAACTTTGCGTGAATATCTTTGGCGTCAAGATCACTTCATCAAAACTAAAAAGTCCTTAATCTATAGCCAATATCAGGAACCCGTCAATCGGACATTTGGTGGGCTCCTGCCAATATCTGTATTGGTAACATGCACATTACAACGGCGACACTTTGGCGCTATAGAAGTCGTCGTTCACGGAACTGAACTGAGCTCACGTTTATTTCTAAACGAACGAGTATAGAAAGACCCGTTCAAACCTAACAGTCGAGGATCGTTGTCCAGCGATATTTATTGACACAAGCGGAAAGAAAAGCTCGATATCTCTTAGTATTTGAAAGTCTGGTAGGATATATTTTTCTATCGTTGGCATAATTTAACTACAAAAAAGGAGTGGTTATCTGTTTTCATGGATACAAACTGTTCGAATTCTTCATCACCTGACGCTTGGAGTGATCTAACCACTCCGACAATGAAATGGTTCTTCCGTCTTCTTTTCTCCGCAATCTTGTTCGTCGGTTTGTTTGGGAATGGTGTCGTTAGCCTTGCCATTGCCCTAAAGCAACGTTTACGGACAACAGCCAACCTGTTAGTGCTAAACCTTTCGGCTTCTGATTTCGTTTTTATATCACTCTACACTCCAACGCAGCTCTCCTTTTTCGAGCACAACTACAGCTGGGTGATGGGCGATGCCATTTGTAAACTCAGCTACGCAGTCCTGCCAGCCTGTCTGTCCTCTACCGTGGGTACCCTGTTGTGCATTGCGTTCCTTCGCTATAAAGCAGTAGCCGACCCCTTTCGTGTTCGTTTTGGATTGACTTACAGGACCACTGCGCTCGTCATAAGCGTTATATGGCTGTTATCTTTACTGTCTGGACTCCCTGTACTTCTGGTCGCCAAAACTGTACCTTACAAAGACAAGACATTTTGCGACGAGATATGGCCAGTCGGCAAGCCTTACAGAGAGATTTACTGGGTGTCCATTTTTGTCATCCAGTACGCTATTCCACTGTTGATCATTCTGTTTTTGTCCATTGGGACAGTTATCAAAGTAAAGAACAGTCGTGCGCGTATCTTACCAACTACCTCCACAGCTCATAATCTAGACACATCCGTACCAAGTGCTTTGAACGCAAGTGTACGACAGCGACGAAGACAGGAGAGCAATATGTCGAGAGTTTTAACTTGTCTGGTGATTTTGTACGCCATATGCATGCTTCCACAACACGTTGTGTTTTACTGGTGGACGTATGGTGATTTGCTGAAGCAGAAATACTCTTTATACATTTTCACCACAGCCAATATCTTTCCCATCGCCAACAGCGCCTTGAATTCTTTTATCTACGGAAGCTTACACAAGGAGCTGAAAAATGGCCTGAAAAACTGTCTAAAATGTTCTTGAAAGCGATAGCTCCGTTTTACACTGTATTTTAAGAAGTTTCAATTTTCAAAGGAAATAATGTTGTCATTGTCAAGACCGTCAAAGATATTATAGATAAGTACTCAAGATGAATTCTTTACTTCTCTTCATTAAAGGTTTCATGGATATACGAGACTAAAAAAAATAATGTTTGTATTTTGAGATCAAAAGTAGGCTACGAGCAGTCTCTCTTTTTTTCTGTAGTCCGTCGAGCAAAACGCGAGACACGCAAATGGCCACGCGCGTGACTGATGGCGCGAGACTGCAGTCTCTTTTTTCTTCTCGGGTTACCGCCCTCGTTTCGCGCGTCTCGCGGCTTCGCCGCTCCCGCGCGTGCATTGCTCTCACTAAATCTGAAGAAAAAGAGAGACTGCTCGCGGTCTAGATCAAAAGCAAACAACAAATCTAGAAATATTCAGTTTAAAGAGGACAAACCTCTCAATAATGTGCAGGCTTAATTTACAGGGTATTTTCATCATAACATCCTTTTAAACAAAGATCAGTGTCTTTCTTTTAAGCTGCTTTACTTGGCTATTGTATGATCACAACCAGAAATGAGTTTCTGTCACAACCAAATTTCTACCTTGACCAATCCCTAAGACACATACAATCAAATCAGCCAATCAGATCGTGAACCAATTTTTTGTACCCCTGGGCCGAGTTGTTCAAAGCTGGGTTAAGATAACCTAGGGTTTGTGCGAGATTTGAATTCAAATTTAAAAGCTTAAAAAGGCATCTCAGTTTTAATTCTTTTTCTCTACAAGTTGACGATTGAAAGCTGTAAATATAACAGAGAAAATTATCCGAGAAAATGTTTTTGAACACAAGAAAGAGAAACCCGGGTTAAATTTAACCTCGGGTTAAGCGCTAATCGGCCTTCGAACAACTGGGCCCTGGTGCAAAACGCGAGAAAAGGCATGTTGTCGAGCCAGTCAGAATATTAGTTTTGGTTTTACTCCTGATTGGCGCGAGATTTCTTAGCCAAAACCAAGGCATCGCCGGTTTGCAGATGACGTCATGGCGGCCATGTAGAACAAAAGCGCTTGGGGTCCGCTGGGAACTAATGTAAATCAGGCGGGAAAAAATGTGTTGTTTTGTCAACCAACCGCCTTGTCACGTGGTTGCAAACCAAGAACATTCACCTTACCTACATTTAAATGATTATGTAACTATTGGACTGTTGACTAAATAGTGCATCTGTATTGGCTATAGTTAGCAGTAAAGTTTTTCCCTCGATAGACCTATTTTTAGAAAGATAAAAGAGTAGCGTAGTGATTGACGATAATTTTGTAATGCCGATTGGGTATTTAATTTCGCGATTTTGGTGAGACCCCATTTCGCAGGGTTTTATTTTCGCGATTTCAACAACCAAATATGAATAAAGGGTATTAAATTTTGCGATTTCGCGTTCTTGACTTCATTTTAGTTTTCAAAAAGTCTGAACTTTTGAAAAATTTGTAGATAAACTAGAACAAGAAATGTGTGAAATCTTTGCAAATTAACGTCATTTCACAACCGAAGATACAAAATGGAACGTAACCGTAAAACCAGTTAACAATTTGTGCATTTGTCGATGCGTATCCTGTATGTGTTAGTATTACATCTTGATAAATGTTACTTTGTTTTGATTTTTCTGCATGGGAATTAAGTTTCGCGTGCTTAAATTTCGCGAGGATTTAAATTTACGGGTCTTTAATTTCGCGGATTTTTTACAATCGCGATAAAACGCGTAATTGAAGATCCGCGAAATCAAGTACGTCGGTTCTTACGTTTTCTGTCTTTTCTGCTTTTTTTTCTGTACTTTGTAGAACGTAGAAAGGGAAATCAATTAAAGAAGTTTGTCACTGAATTTAGCGTTTTGATGGATTTTCCCTTTTATTTATTTTTAAACCTTTGAGTCCTAGAAACATTATCAGTACCACTTGGAAGTTTCTGACGAGATTAATTTGAATGGCTTCCCCATGGGAAGCCATTCACCAAACTTTACCTGATTCCTTAAAGTTCCGTAAAGCTCATAGGCAAACCTTCATGGATTCAGTATACATTTCTAACTGTACTGAAGTATAAATCGCGTCCATATAAGTGACTTTTTGCTGTTGGCCATAAACTCCTTCAGCTTTACGGGGAGTAAAGCTCATAAAGTTTACCTGAAAGCTTTATAAAGAAAATCTTTACGCCGCGTAAGCCAGTATCAATCACTTCTTTACTGAACAAAGCTCCGTAAAGCTCCGTAAATTTGGACACTTTTCATGACGTACGCATCAGCGTAAACTTCCGCAAAGTTAACCTTTACAAATAGGATGCGTGAATGTGCATAAAGTGTGTCTTTACGGTAGCATAACGCCAGCTTTATGGTCCGGAACAGTAAAGTTACCATTTCGTATACTGCGCGGCGCGCGGCATGACAATCAGAAGCACTACCCAGATCTGGGTAGTGAATTTTCATCAGTATTGAAGTTTTCTGCAGTCGGTTTTCAGCGGTCATTTCGCGAGGAAACCGGCGTTGACGTTGCGAAATGTCTGGTGTTTTTTAGGCTAAGAATCACCTGGTTTGTTAAGGATATTACACATTGCCTCAAGGTAGCTTTAACTGGTGGCTTAGGCAAAACTTTTATAGTTCAAACCGAACGTTTTCAATCACCTACAAACTAAAAAGTTAAATATGCCCCCGCTTCGTGGTTTGTGAATTAACTTTTCTCGATATTTTTTTTTTGACCTTTGTTGCTTGATTAACATGGAATAACATAAAACGGATATTTTTTATGCGAGGAAAACTGATTTTACTTAACCCTTGTGTAAAGATGCTTGATAACAAGGAGTCCAGAGTAATAGATAACCGACGTTTCTTAATCTGCGTGCTTACTACACCGATCTGACAACCTCGTGCTCACACATCCGGGAATCCTAGTCTACACAATACAATCCCATATATGGTAGCAACACTAAAATATATCGTAACGACACCCTGAAATAGGTGTAGTACAATGTTATGCACTATTATGCAGTTATTCCATCGTCTTCTTTTGTTTACCTCTTTCTGTTTGCACTATTTGTTAGTATCTGTTTCACGGTTCAAGTAAAATTACTCTAATGGCATTAAGATAAAAATATCATTGAAATAATCAATGGTTTTTGTGACGGTCAGCAAAACAATTTGAATTTTCTTTCTCAAACAATAGGGTCTAATTACTTAAGAAAAATGAAAAGTCATGATGAGTTCAATAACGTTCTTATGTTGTAATTAACTTCGGTTCATTAGTTTTTTTATACTACTACGTGAGAAATTTCTGCAATTTGATTGGCTTAGAGCAGTGGTATTTCAGCTTAATTTGAAATACCTACATGTGAAAATTACAAACCTTTTTGAGGGTAGTAGTATAAACAAATAATAGCATTATTTATTCGTGATATTTGGCATAAATACCACTCGTGATATTTCAAAATTGTCTCAAATTTCACTCGCCTGACGGCTCGTGAGATTACGTATAACAATTTCGAAATATCACTCGTGGTTTTTATGCCAAATATCACTACAAATAATGCTATTACCTATACTAATAGGCGGATGAAAATGGAACTTTTAAGTAAGTTCTTCCTTAACCAGTTATCCATTTGGGTTGCGTTTTAAAGCTTAAGCGTTTTAAATAGAGAATAATACATGGTCGCGCGGAGATATGGAATTTATCTTCGAGTGTTCACATCGATATCGAACGAGTGAGCGCAGCGAACGAGTGAGATATCGAATGTGAACACGAGAAGATAAATTCCA